AAATTGGAGCCTGGAGATGATTATAACTGGAACCTTCCAAAAGAAAGAATGTCTGTAAACTCTTAACTGTATCAGAGCAAGCATCTTGGTATCTCACCACTGAGGAACAGTTGGTGAAAGTATATAATTTACTTAGCTAATACAACCAGATCGGTTTATGCTTAAACTACCATATTAAGGAATGAATTGGTATAGGGCATTATGTGCATATAATTTTAACTTTTGAGTGGGATGAGAACTAAGCATAACAGCAGTGATTCTTTTCCTGAGTCACAATGGAATTTGCTTTAAATTTGAGTGGAGAACAAACAGGACAGCCATGCTACTTTGAAAGTCACAGGACAAAATTGTTTGTTGAGTATAATTAACAATACTAAGTGGAATCAAAGGAAGCCTATTCAGTACATAAGCTAGTATGGCAAATACAGTTAAGCTTTACTAGTATAGTCTGGGTCACTGAAATACCTTCATTTACTTATCTACCTCTCTATTTATTCGAAGGCAGAGGACTAACATCCATGTACAAAAGAAGTCACATAGAAAGTACATCTAACTGATGAAAAAAGCTCTCTTGGATGAAAAATAAATACCTTTATGAGAAAGAATATCTACAATATGGTACAAAATGGTAAATAGCTAGCCTAGAAGAGAGTCAAAAAGGTTTTCTGGCTTTGGATATATAAGGTTAATACCCTGGACAAATGTAAGGAGACTTCAGAAGCCCTGACTAGCTCCACTGACAGGGAAGTAAAAGCCCATGCCCAGGACTTTGTAGATTTGCATTTTATAAAGCTGTCCAGCAAAATGTGACACAAGGACAGTGTATTGGTTTTAATACTCTTCTGCCACTGCAGAAAGATTGAGAACGTGCAGACCATTTTTCTTGCTGCATTTAATAAAGCAATAGGGTTTGCTTGGCCCCTCTGGGATTCTGTGATAGCTGAAATGTGCTTCTGAGCATGTTTTTTTTTTAGGAGGAGGGAGCAATTCTTTGGCAGAGGAGGGATGGAGAGAGGGAAGACATTGCTGCTGTGTATCACAGTCCAGTCTGAAATGTCTAGAAACACTTTATATATATATGTCCATGTTGTACACTGATGAAAAATCATTTTGGCATCAGCAACTCAGTGTAGCTATCCTACCAAAGAACAGTGAATCAAAACCTGAACTTATAAAGTCCCAAGTAATGTGGAGGTGTCAACTTACTCAAATCTCTGCTGTCAAAAGAAACAGAAATTATTTTAGATAATTCCTAAATTATCTAAATATCTAAATTCTATTTAGATGACACATTATCCCAAGAACAAAAAAGATTCAAAGTACATATCCTTAACAGTGTATAGTTTTGGGAGTCACTGCTTTCCATTGTATGACTATTCATCTGGGTATTTGTCGCTGTTTGTTAATCTTTTATATTTCCCCCCCCCCCCTTTATTTTTAATGAGAAGCAAAGCCTTTGTGGCATACAACATAGACATAAATAAAAAAAATTGAAAGGAAAAGTGAGGAAGCAATCAGAAATTTGTAAAACTATACAGAATGTAAACTAGCAAAGAGCCAAGACTCTGAATGTTAAAAGCAAATGGAAGCAAAAGTCACTGCTTCCAAGATGGTAATAATGTAAAGATCAAAAACCAGAGCCAACGCCATCAGGTTAACCTATAATTTAAAGGCTGAATGTAGAAGACCCCCCTCACCGCCACCCTTTTTTAAATTAGAATGTTAAAAATACGAAATGTCAAACTTCTGCAAAACAGAAGAACAAAGAAGATGATGAAGTAAATTCATAAAGCACAAAATAAATCAACACTGTGGATAAATAATAAGTTTGGTGCCAGTAACGCAGCTGATACATTTTCTGATGGCAAACAGCCTGAAAGAGGTGGCTGGCCTTTGCCAGAGTATGAGAATAGATCTAAGTAAATCTCATGTGAAAAATAAATGAAAAACATCTGGTAAGGACACAAATGTTTTGTTTACTGATGTCAACCACAGGAAAGCTTCCAGTATATCAGCTCTGGGCTTGCCAGCAGGTGTTACTGCAATTATTCAGAACAATTAAAGGTGGCATTTCCAAAAGCATGGAGAGAGGGCCAATAAATAAGGCAATCACGATACTGTCAACAACTCATATATCTTTGGAGGACCTGTGCAGCAAAGTATCTTAAGGCCAGCCACCATGGCCTCAAATTTTACCAGTTGTACCCATGTGAAATAATATCCTGCTCCATGACCGATGCCACTGAAATCCCTGAAATGACCTGATTGCTAAGATAACTCCTTTACTATGGAGTAGAATTTCACCTTGACAAAGAGAAATATAACCTAGAAAGAATATGCCAGATAGTATTTTCAGAGAGCAAGTGTTTGAGTGTATGTATTTTCAATAAAAATGGACTTTCACTAATGTTGAAATTTATTATTAGGTTAACTAATTTGATTAGTCTCATTACACTATTTCATTTCTCTTTTCCTTCGCAGAAGATTTCCCGTATTTATGTTATTTCACTGTGGCTATGCTCCAGCTTACAAGAAGGCATAAAACTCAGCTCTAATGTTTAGACGTCAGGTTTCTCAATATACTTTAAGAATGACTGTATGTACTATATTCTCTGCCTGGGCGCACAGGCTAGCATTAATTTGTAGATCAACACCAAACACAGCATCAATCTACTTACACCTAAAATCTCCCGTTTCTTCCCATTAATGAACTGCATCATTCACACCCAACAACATCAGGAGTTTTTAGGAAACGTTCTCAAAATCATATCCACCTCATGATATGATCTTCAGTCTGACTGAAACTGCATTCTTAATTCAGTCATCATTCAAAAGAAATCGGGACTTGGTTTTTTTTAAGCCATTCATCTTTCTAACTACATTGATAAGAAAAGGTCTATGAAAACAAACAAACTGGACATGAGATGACTTCCATCATTTTGAACCATTAAATAACTGCTCACAGAAATCAACTTCCTCACACTGAATTGCAATCATGACCTTGCATCTCTTGATTTGCTGTCTTGCTGCTAGAATTTTTACTGCTTACTTCAGTGGACTCTTATGGCAAAAGCAAAACCCTCTGTCATTTACATCATGCCCTGCATTTCATGGAAAACCTGAACTGAAAAGAGATAGCAACTTTTACTTCAAGTTCATCTGCCCTAAGACAAGCATGCCTGGTTATTTTGATGTTATATTACAAAGACATAACCTAAATACCTGTCCTCAGGACCAAGAGTTAACCCTCCTTCCCAGGCACATTCTACAAAGTACTGACTGACTTAGTGCAGATGGAGTAACCACACTGCAGTTCATTTTTCTTTTTTATAATTAATTTTCAATCGTTCATACGCTTACAGCTGAAAGTTAATTACATGCTCAAGTCACTTACTCTGAGATTAAATGGCCCCAATTCCTTGTATGCCCAGAATAAGTTACTTAACACACTCGCGGCTCTCATCTTAAAAACATGCACGTTGCTATTTCCCTACAGGAAAGAAGCATTAACAGAGACTTTCAAAATCTTCTTAGGATGCAAATTGCTATTTAAGTGGTAGATACTACTCTATTTTAAAGAGCTCCGAGGGTGGAAAAAGTTAAACTGCTGCTATCTGGCAGAAATACTCAAAAACCTCCATGAGAGAAATAAGACCTGGTAGTGCAAGTATAGGATGAAAAGTGGTTTGGCAGAAGGGACACAACGAAATTTGTATTTGTCTCACAATGACTCCAAAGTACTCCAAAGTACATTCTCTTGAGCTACATGTTTAAAACAAATATACCCAATCAGAAAACTAGTTGTTCTTCTAACAGCCCGCTTTACAAACCACACCTGACACCTGACCTGAAGCTACGCTGCATGCTCTCTGGCTCACATTAGAAAACAATTAACAATTTTGTTGACAATCAACAAACCAGAATAGAATCCAGCTCATTTTCTCAGACTGCTATAGAGCCAATAAAAGTAAAAAGTCATCAGCATTTATTTTTGAACTAAGGAAAGCAGATATATCTTGGAAGACAGACAGATTTCGGATCTCTGGAGAAGGATGATAGCATTTGTACACAGTCATTTTCTGATCATATATGCACTTTACAAACAATTCCCCCTATCTCACAGCTTCTTAGCTGGGCTTGTTCAGAACTGGGAAAGTGACTGCATTTTAAATAGCATCCCTTATGAGCCACATCCACTGGGTATGTGATTTCCTTCCCTCAAACCGTTTAAAATGGCTGCGGAAAAACTCTTTGCCTCATGGCAGATGCACAGCTGCTCTCAGCTGATTAGGAAATAGAGTTAGTACCTGCCATGCAATGCCTACACTATTATAATGAAATAAGAAACATCTTTGTTCTAACTAGGCATATATTAAAGCAAAAAGCATGTACCATATATGTACTTCCTCATCTTTTCAGGAAGTAAAACAGGATGGTTTGAGAGAAAACAAGACCCAGCTAGTCCACACTGCTGCTGCTGCTGACCGCTTTGGCACTGCTTTTGGAGGGACAGGCTCTGAAGCCAAAGCAGCATGGCTGGGGAGATGGAGACACATGGAAGAAATGCCCTGAAAGCCCCTCTGAACGAAAAGGAAAGGGACACCCGTTTTAAACCTGTCTTAAAAGACTGGCTGAGACAAGGCAGGCCAGAGCAATCACAAGAAGGTTAACCCTTACAAATTCATTCCATTATCCTACTGAGAAAACATGAGATAAAAGCTAGCCTCAAACCCAGGGTGACCCTGTGCACCATGTAGGAAGGAGACAAGTACTGTGAAGCAGAAATAGAGGGGAACATAAGCTGGCACCTACCTGGCTCACTTTTACTGGCAAAAGATAGTTAAAAGCCATGCATCTACTAAAGCAACCAGAACTACTGTGCTACACGGACATCAAACATATCAGACATGCACTGGTCAGCACAAAGAGCAAAGAATTACCTCAAGTGGAAAACACCCCCAGTGAAGGGCACGGCATAGCATCTCACATCATAAACTCACCTCTGAAGGCGCCAGAAGCCCCTGGGCAGCTGCTGCCTAACCCCCAGAACTGCAAAGGGCTCCCCACCAACCACACCAGCTGTGGGCCAGTCTCCTAATTCACTGTCCATGAGAAGTGTGCTGGCAGAAGTGGTTTCTTCCAAGCCAAGGCAACAATGGAGCTCTGGGCGTAGGCTGAGCAACCCACCTCCAGGACAAACTGGGCCAGGTTTCAGTGCACTTGTCCCTGTTAAATACTCTCACAAGGAGGAAGAGTATTATAACACACACAGAGAAAAAATTAATTACCAAGACAAAGGGTTGCAAACTCCATCATTCACAGGTCCCACGTTAATGATTAGCTAACCAAACTAGCCGCCTAGTTGGTAATTTGATTCATTGGAAAGGAAAAGGCACTCTACGGACCTTGACAGGTTTTAGCAGAACTGCGCGTCCCAGGTCATCCTGCTTCCCCCTGCCTACACCATCTCATTGTCAAGCTCAATTTGCCAGCAAGGTCCTGACAATAAACACAAGATACATTTCAAGGTTAGTAGGCAAAACTCTTCATGGATGTCATGATAAGCCATTGTAGTGATGAAGTAAAGGAGATGCAGGGGTGGAAAGCACTGGGTTTTTTGTTTTGTTTAACAAATGGCACAGCTTTATTCAATTACCACCCTTCATTTATCTTACCTTGATCAGTAATACTTCATATGTACCTATGACTACTAAAAGTAAGCAGAAAAACATTCCTGGGAACTTAAAGGATATTATTTATGGCTTAGAGGGAGAAATGAATGGTCTGCTAACCTGTCTAGATACTGATATGTAATTTTCCAAGTCAAAGCACTGGGACAATGTGCTTGTTAATTAAAAATCACACTTTACACTTATGCTTTCTGAGGTGGGATGAAATACAGTAACTAACTACGATTCACTGGCTTATTTTAATTTTTATAGAAACTGTGGTTCCACTTCAGTGCCCTTGGCACACAGCACAAAGTCTAAGTAAAGGGTATGTTGACCTTAAGAGAGAAATATCAAACATATGGCCTGTGGGCAAAGTAACAATGTGGGCCACAAAGGCTTAAGAAAAATCAGAATATTTGTCTGCCGCTGTGAGAAACACGTTCTTGAATGCCATTTTGACATCAAAAGCAACAGGCTGAACTTTTAATTTGTGTTTTAGAACACAGAGTAGTGCCTGGTTCTTCCTCTGCATGGTCAGTGAAGCACACTCATTTTGCTGGGGTCATCCATCTTAAAACTTGTCCATATTAGCCAGTATGGAAGACAGCACCGAAACTAAAAAGCACATTAGAAGCTCAGGCTCTTTTCCCAAACCCTTCTTTCTGTAGGGGTTTTGTGCATTTATAACTCCAAAGGTACAAGAATGCCAATCTGGATCAGATTTCAAGATCTCTCGGGAGCTACCAGTACTCAACTGGTAGTAATTTAACTCCAAAAAACAGAAAAGGGTTAGCAATGACCATATATATTTTTTTTTAATACAAATATTAAACACTACAAAGAAATTAGAATCAGCAGTGAACAACAGAAAAAGAAAACCAAACCTTTTTTTTAAACAGCATGAAAACTTGAGTATTCTTCATCCTCTCAGTACCCATATATCAATCACATCATAGGCTAAGATAAACTTGAATGAACTGTTTACACTGCAAATGCTATTTCTAAACCAGCATTAATAAGAGACTACGTGTAATTCGCTGCATTCTTGGTCTGTCTAAATGAGCGCTGGTTAAGTGTATAAGTCTTACTCAAATAAGACCAGACTTCCTGTGGAGGGCAGAAAAAGATAAAGGTCAACGATCAAGGGATTCAGTGCCCACAAATACAGTCTTCTGTAAACACACATGTTGTTGAATGTGCGCCTGCTCTCAGGGTAAGCAGCATTTCCCTCGGACAGTTAATACTCCCATGGTATATTATTGCTGTAACTACTTTGCCTAAAATTTTCTCACCCATGGGGGAAATTCACTGATCAGAAGCATTTAGTAGGGATTTGCAAATACAAATAAAATTGCAAAATCCAATACATGCTACCAATTCCAGGAGTAAATTCCAGTGCCTGTTCAGGTTTTAAATATCGATGGCATCATGCCAGTAACACTGCTATATGGTACACCTGCAGGAAGGGTTCAAAAGTTCTGATTAGGAAGGTTTTCAGGTTAGGAAAAGAATATGCTCAGTTGTAGAAAAGGCAAAATCTCTTCCAGGAGAGACAGAAGCCAAACAGGAGCTGTCCTGGATATAGGAAGAGCACTTACTCCAAAACATAAATGGTTTTCTTTGGTCGCCTAAGTGCATTCTTGCTTTTTTAATTTGCTCTTGAATTCATCACGAAACCTGAAGAGCTCCCAGAGTCATCTTTAGCAAGCTACAGGAATGAAAAGATGCAGGTGCCACTCTTTTGACACTAAAAAACTATCACAACTGAGGCGACACTGGCATAGAAAGTAAATTTATGTCCATTTTCCATCTCTGAATAGTACCATAGATATTTTCTTTTAAAGAGCATAACAATGTAGATGAAACCAACTTGAAGACTGAAATAAATACGGAAATGTGTAATACCAGGAAACAAGATGAAGTCTGAATGGGTCATGGCCAAGAAATCTGATAGAAAGGAGTATTTTTTAGAAAGAGAGAGAGATTTTACTCTTCAATCTCTTGAAGCCAAGATCTTTCAAAAAATATACTCAAAAATCACAGAGGGAGAGAATACAATTCCAGAATACTTAACAGCCTGCTCTGAATTACAGAATTTACACCCGAAAAGATAGTATTTTTTAAAAGAGATAAACAGCCCAGATGTTAGAAGAGTCACTGACAACAGATCCAGGTTTGAGACCCCAGCGCAGTAAGCATCTCAGCATATGTACTAAGAGAAATAGCCTTGGATGGAAAGGCTTAAGAAACTCAGTATTTCATAGGGTAGTGTGGGAAGTGCTCACCCACAGTATGGGAAATAAGGGCCCACATCCCTGACACGAATCAAGCAAACCCATGAGATTAAATTTGAATTCTTCATAACCCACATATGTGCTCTCTCCATGAGGTATTAGCTATTTAACATGATGGTCTTTGTAGTTCTGGTCATGCCTAGAAACTCATTTCCAGACCCAAGACAGCTTTCCCAATTAAAATTTCTTCAAAATCGACGCCTTAGATGCTAAGCTCCCACAGTGGCATACCACCATTAGAAATAACATCAGAAATCATGCTCAGCCCTCTCCCCACTCTGATAAATCGCCGAAATCCCCATAGACTACCTAACATTTTTTTTGCAGCATACCTTGTGTAAGGACTCCAACAGGCAATCTTCAACCAACACATGCATCTATTTCTATGAGGTTACCTTTACATACTTTCTTTTTTTAAAAAAAGTCTATTTCTCCTCTGATTACTTTTTGGGTTTTCTGGCCACACCATAATCTCATTTCCCCCATGAATGCAGAGCATGTATGACACTCTTGTCATCAATCTGATTACTCATTTCTGATGGTAACTCCTCAGATGGAACACGAGAGTAAGCCAAACAGCAAGCAAACACAACATGAAAGCAAACACCCCAGTTTACACCATTCCTGGAAATGCAGCTGCTAAAGCTCAAATTATACAATGAACTTCATGCTCCAGAATGACTAGGAGAAGGGGCAGGCTGGCTTCTGACATTCAAAACACCAAAGATAACCCACATCCAACCCCACACACAGCCATGGTCATGAAGAGATAGAGCCATGCCCACTAACGTATTTCTATGTCTTTGTTCCTGCTCCAATTTTAAGAGGGAGAAGGGAGCATCATAAAAAAAGTTATTTCTACTGTACTTCCCTGTGGAGCCTCCCTAGCCATCAGCTTTATAAAGCCTCCGGAAGACAATTTCAGCCTGCTCAGCCTGGGAGTTCATCCCTTCCCAACAGCCCTCCCAGGCATTTTAACAATAGTCAGAACGCCCCAACATTAACCTCTGCAACACCCAATGCTGCTACAATTCCTACAGACACAACCACTAAAGAGGCAGTGTGTGACTTTTCTCACCCCAGCCCCAGCAGGTAATTGGAGTTTCCATGGATAATCCCAGCAATCAGAGAGAAAATCTCTGCCTCTAACATGACCCATTAGCACAGAGTTCACCGATCAGTAGGTTAACATGCCATTAAAGCATCTCTCTATGGGGCTTAGGAAGGGTCAAAAAAACTCCATCACAAAGAACAAAAATATCTAAGGAGCTCATATGCAGTCATACCAAGATCTTCAACAACAGGTCAAATTCAGCCCAGAGACAATTCTCCTCCCTGTGGCGAGACCAGCAATATCTGCAATCCTGACATTACACTCCACAGCTTCCTTTGAGTATCAATTAAATATTCAAAATAGAGAATGTTTTACTAAGTTATACGGGAAAGCAAATAACCTACCTCATTATAAGTTTGGATGGATACCATTCTGCACCAAATACTTTACCACACTGTACACATGTTCAGTTTACAGTCCCTGGTTATAAATGAGAGACCTTTTTTTACCCATTACCAACACGTAAGCCACTTTAGCACAGGGAATAGATACACAGAGGCAGTTACTGAAGAACAGTTTATGCTCTGTAAGGACCATGTTGGTTTCCCAATGGTAAATCACATGTATGCCTACAGCAGTAAAAGGCACAATGGTGCAATACAGTAATAGTAAAAACTGACAAGGTTGTGATCAACTAGGGACGTGCAGTGACAACAATGAAACTCTGAGAATTTAGACTAATGCCAGTAATCTACCATGCAAAGTTCCTTCTCAACAACTCACTTCTTATTAGTTGCCTTTTGGCCAAGATACCAGGCAAAAGAACATCCATATCACCTTCTAGCAGAAGCTCAGATAAATTTGAGTAAGGAAGAAGGAAAAAATAGGAGGTTTCACTTTATATTTATCATTTATTGATAAACTTCAAATAGATGTAACAGTGCTATCTGTCTATAAAATGCACTGGTTAAAAGGCAGCTGATTCATTGTTTTATTTTATTTTTTTTCTCCTCTCAATGCCCATGTACTCGAATAGTTCCATAATGAGAGAATTTCCCAGCAGATTAGTTTTATTAGTGTTAATTGTCCATATAATGTACATTTCTGTCTCACCTGTTGCATTTCCCAAAGTAGTTTCTTTATGTGTCTTGTGTTTGTCATAACCAGGGTTCTAACTGAAATGTGGAATATATAATACACATAGGAAATTATGATCACCATGATCTTTAAATATATACAAGTTTTTCTACAGGTTCTCAATATAGATTGCCGTTCTTATCTGGAAACCACCACTGTTCTCCTTTACTTTGAAGTCTTAAACCAGTGAATAGTGGCTTATGTTACATGCCCCATGCATGCAAAATGTTGGTGTTAACAAGTAAAGTTCAGGATCTAACGTGAGCCCTATCTTGAATTTCCTTTTATTTGTTAGTTTGAATCTCAA